TATAATAGTATATTATGCAACAAGTTTTATAAACGACACTTTAGTCACGAGTTTGTTTAGGCACGAGCGGAGCGCAGCGGAGCGAGTGTTTAATAAACGAGTGACTAGAGGAGTTTATAAAACGAGTTGTATACTATACTTTTTCTACGACCAAGACAACAATGAAAATTGAAACGTTTACGTGTCTTTTATTAAATCTGCAACATTAATCGTAACATAAACATGTATGTAATATAATCTTACTAAATTAACTTATTTAGGTAAATATACATTAACAGTTAAATTAGAAAAATTACTACAGTTATTGAAAGAAACCATTGACGTTCCCGAGTTTTTTCCATCAAACTGTTTTATTTGATTGGAACTCGAAATAACAGTATTTTCAGAGCTATTATTGCAATCCAAACTTACTGCTTCATTGTTGTCAAAATTTATGTTTATACTTTCAGCAATGTCAAATTCAGCAATATCAAAGTTAGAATTATTGTTGGTATTTCTGATAGGACCTTCCGAAGTTTCAATTATATTTTCCGTGTTTTCAATGGAATTTATAATTTTGTTGGCAGTTTCAATTTTATTAGTGAGTGAATGATCAATATATGCCTCTGCGACGGTAGTGGAGCGCCACCCTCCATGGCGCTTGAGGGCAGTGATGTCAGCTCCAGAGTCTACTAATATAGTGGCCGATGATCGTCTTAGACAATGGCCTGTATATCTGGTAGGGTCTGGCAATTTCAAAAACTGGGCAATCTCTCGGGCAATGTTACCAAATTTGTTTATTCCAATAGGCTGTTTCGTACACTTGCCTCGGTGATAGTTTAAAAAAAAACGGGTAACGTTAGTAGGCAGATTTGAGGGGCGGAGTTGCATGTACTTTTTACAAGTCTTATAGAAGTTTCCTCCGATGACAAATTGCCTTTCCGTTTTAGTTTTAGTGTCCGGAATGTGGACTAAAAAAGCTGTACCTAGGTCATCAATATCCTTTGTTTTGATTTTCATTAGTTCTTCTCGCCGGCAAGCCCCCATTACTCCAAAAATCATTGCAACCTAAAGCAGAAAATAATACATACCGATATTTAACGCATATGAACAGTTTACCTTTGTGAATAAAAATTTTTCATCTGGTGCTGTAGTTATAAATTTTTGTATTTGCTGGGATGTTAGAATCTTGGACTTTTTTGGTTTGTATCCATCTGATGTGCGTTTCAAAAATGAACACAATTTTGGGTATTTACTGATGTCAACATTGTTTTTGAGGTTAAGTGTTGAACGGAGCATGGAATATATCGCCCACAAAGAAGATGGCTTCATACTTGCTGAAAGTTGTTGAAAGTAGGCGAGCAAAACGTTTTCGGAGTACATTTTTATTTGCTTTTCACTGCACCATTTGGAGAACAGATTGTAAGCCCGTTCGTACTGAATTCGCGATTTCTCGGGCAGCAAATTATTGGTGGCTCTAATCGCTTGTTCTCTAATTTCTGGGGGTGTGGCGGTAAATTCTTCATTTTCTTGTTCAATTGCTTCCATTATCTTGCAAATTACGAATCACTTACAAATGTAATAATTGCTTGTCAAAAGTCAAAGTTGACGTTTCGTTCGGCCATCACAAGACGTGACTAAGAAAACTTCGGCCCGTGATTAATAAGGCGGGAACATCCGAATATGGTTCAAACAATGTTTAATGATTTGTCGTATTTAAACTGATATTTAGCGTACCGATTGGCCGTGTAAAATGTGCCGTGTAAAATGTGCTGTGGGAGTAGAAAAAGTTACTTAATCACTAAATTCAAATAGTTCAGCTATTAAATGTTTCATATACAAGGTGTTCTGAAAGTCCGTCAGGAAGCTCCGGTAGATGATTCTACGGATTAAAATAGTAACATTATGTAATGAAATTTTTTTTCGAATTGTCAATTGTTTGCAAGTTACAGCTTGTAAAAGTTTATTTTTTTATATTTTTCTATTTAAATAACTTATTTAATTCAAGTTCGATTAGTCTCTCATTTGGCACACCCACTAAGTAGATGACCAGGTGGACCAGTTAGAGAAAGTTTCATTATGCGCCGCTAGAGGGTACTTTACCTAGAACTCAAAATTTGTTTGTTCATACCTTTTTTCTCTTGCCATCACATAAATTTAAACATTATTGAAAAGAAAAATAATATCAGAAAAAATTATGTACTTTTAATTAAAGTCGATAAATGTAACCGTTTAGCAGGAAATCGCTATTAATCGCTATTAAAGTGTTATTAAACATCAAAATTTTTGATAATTCTTTCTGCAATTAAGCAAGTTGCCATACTTTAATACCATCTCTTATAAAACCAGCTTCGTTAGTAAATAAAATCTTATAAGTAAATTCATTAACCTCAGTTTATTTTTCCACAACGTTATTACAGAGCCGAAAAAAAAAATCATGTGAGGGCTCTGTATGTATCTACGCATTAACCAAATGCAAAAATTGGAAAATTTTAGTTCATCTATGCCTTGGCCTAAATATTTCCAGCAAGTTGGTCTGCCTAGAAAAATTTTATATTTACTAATGTTTCTGAAATCTCAGTAGTTTTAAAAGTCCACATTGTTAGTAAGTATATCCACAAAGCAGAAGTATGAAGTAAAGTCCAGTGTTNTTTTTCTATTTAAATAACTTATTTAATTCAAGTTCGATTAGTCTCTCATTTGGCACACCCACTAAGTAGATGACCAGGTGGACCAGTTAGAGAAAGTTTCATTATGCGCCGCTAGAGGGTACTTTACCTAGAACTCAAAATTTGTTTGTTCATACCTTTTTTCTCTTGCCATCACATAAATTTAAACATTATTGAAAAGAAAAATAATATCAGAAAAAATTATGTACTTTTAATTAAAGTCGATAAATGTAACCGTTTAGCAGGAAATCGCTATTAATCGCTATTAAAGTGTTATTAAACATCAAAATTTTTGATAATTCTTTCTGCAATTAAGCAAGTTGCCATACTTTAATACCATCTCTTATAAAACCAGCTTCGTTAGTAAATAAAATCTTATAAGTAAATTCATTAACCTCAGTTTATTTTTCCACAACGTTATTACAGAGCCGAAAAAAAAAATCATGTGAGGGCTCTGTATGTATCTACGCATTAACCAAATGCAAAAATTGGAAAATTTTAGTTCATCTATGCCTTGGCCTAAATATTTCCAGCAAGTTGGTCTGCCTAGAAAAATTTTATATTTACTAATGTTTCTGAAATCTCAGTAGTTTTAAAAGTCCACATTGTTAGTAAGTATATCCACAAAGCAGAAGTATGAAGTAAAGTCCAGTGTTGTAAAAGAGCGGTTTTAATTTTTAGTTATTTTACAATGATATAAAATATGTGAAAGCTCTCTGAAACTTTGTCCGAAAGAAATCCTAGTTTAAAACAAAAGATCTTCGTGGAGATATCTTCTTCTATTTGTTTCGAACAAACACATACATTGTCACCTAACGCGACTCGACGTTTATTGCTCATATCATTTTTATTAGCCTACTTGAAATGAATTATCCAGAATCCCAACGTTCCAAGAAAATAAAACCGAAGAGTTGCGGAATTCGAGCCATAGCCTACTGAAATATACATTCCTCGTCACGGTGAGTGGGACGTAAGTTAGTTCGGAGATAGTAGTTATTAGTTCTGGCTCTTACCCGGTTCTTGCGAAGTTGCTCCAGTAGATCATAGTTGTCTCGGATAAGGCCACCTCCGATTTCGTGTAGTTCCTGCTGAAGTGCATGAAGCCGCCGACGAGGGGTGCGCCGAACAAGTAGGGCAGCTCCTCGCCGTGGATGCAGCCCTGCCTCTGAAATAAATCATGAGCCAGATTAGGTTAAATAAATTATTTTTATTGCTTGCACAGTTTTAAAATTTTATTACTGGATGTGTTCGCCCTCGGGAATGCGGTGTATCTGGAGGATCGGGCTTTTATTATTAATAGCAAGCTACTGAGCTCGTAGGGTTTACACGTTTAGCGTTATCTGAGGAATTAAGTTTTCTTTATTGCACGGGTGTGTGGCGTGCCGACGAGATTTCGTAATTTATGATCACTGAAACGAATGGACGCTAAATAGAAAATATATTAGAATCTTTAAAAGCGGAAATGAAATTAATATCTTGAGAGTACAAAAGAAATATTACAGAAGTTGTTCTTCAACTCGACTGTCAAACTTACACAAGAATCTTGATAAGATTTCAAATGACCAAATTGGCAAAGCCACATGGAAGCAAGATCTGCATCGCCACTATACTCTGTTTGGAAATGAAAGAGAGTAATAAAACCCCGAGATAAGAACCGGCCATGGGCGTGGTAATATTTCGTTTCAGGTAATTATCGGGTAACACTAATGCTAACAAAAATGACAGGGATTGGAAAATCGACTATCTACAGACTTTTAAAGGAAACAAAAAATGAACAAGATACTGTAAATCCCCCAAAATCATCTACAGGGAGGTCAAAAGTCGTTATAGATGATTTCTTCAAAAATGTCATTCGCAGAAAAGTACACTCATTTTATTTTAAAAAAGAAATACCAACGCTAAACAAAATTTTAAGTGAACTTTCAGAGGACAACGATTTGCCAAAAATCAGTAGAAGCAAATTATGGGCCGTCTTACGAGAGTTGAATTTTTGCTGGGAAAAGCAGAACAGGAAGTCAGTTCTTATCGATAAAGATGAAATTATTTGTTGGCGAAGATCCTACTTAAGATCAATTAGAAAATTCCGTGACGAAGGGAGGAATATTTATTATCTAGACGAAACTTGGGTCAACGAGGGATATACTGTAACAAAAGTATGGCAAGATAAAAATGTAAAAAGTTTTCGACAAGCATTTTTGGATGGACTTTCAACAGGGTTCAAGGCACCTTCAGGTAAAGGGCGAAGATTAATAGTGACACATATAGGTAGTGCCAGTGGTTTTGTAGATGGCGGTTTACTTTTATTTGAATCTAAAAATACAGGTGACTATCACGAAGACATGAACGCAGATGTTTTCGAAGAGTATTTTACACAGATGTTGGATCTTATTCCTCCGGGGTCTGTAATTGTCATGGATAATGCCAGTTACCATTCACGGCAGACCGAGCGGACGCCTACGACTGCTTGGAGGAAAGCCGATATAATTCAATGGTTATCCGGAAAAAACATTTCTTTTGAAACAAATATGGTGAAAAAGGAACTTTTGACACTTGTCAATCTTAATAAAGATCAGAAAAAATATGTTATCGATGAAATGGCAACAAATCGCCAAATAACGGTACTACGGTTACCACCTTATCACTGTGAACTTAACCCAATCGAATTAGTCTGGGCGCAGGTAAAAGGAGATGTAGCGCGAAATAATACGACGTTTAAATTAAGTGACGTGAAAATTTTGTTAAAAAATTCCTTGGAACGAGTAACTGCAGATAACTGGCAAAGATGTATACATCATGTACAAAAAGAAGAGGAGAAAATGTGGGAACTCGATAATTTAATTGACGTTACTGTGGAACCTATCGTTATCAATCTAGGAGACGAAGATAATTCATCAGAATATTCAGAGGATGAATTTTAATATACCTACTTTTTTATTTTCTTTATTGTACATTTATACAACACTACATTTACTCACCATAATTTGAATTTTCAAAATACATATATTTTTGTGTGGAATAAAAGTCTATTCATTAAATTTAAATAAATATTTTGATAATAATATTGAATAATTTTATTTGAATTACTAAAAACCCTCTTAACCCGGTTATGATGCTTAAAGTAGCCTCATGTTTTGAAATGCTGTTTTTATATTGTTTACTTATAAGAGAAATGGACCGAGAAATTGAAGCGGCATAGACAAAGACGGATTGTCGGGGATTAAATTTTAGCTACCTGCTACAATTTAGTACAGTCCGATCGCACAAAGTTTTTTTAAAAGTACACCTCATCTATACCGAAACTACATAATATAAAAATATTGAATATAAGCACCAGTACTACATTTATTTACGATTTGCATACATAATAAGCTTTTATTACTCTCTTTCCTTTCTAAACAGACTATAGGCGAAACAATTTTTTAAACTGATGCAGGAATATTTACGGGTAGTAAACAGTTAGGATCATTTATCAGCCAACACCACCAGACATATACCGGTTTCGTATCAGTATGCCAGTATTTTAACTACACGGTGGAGTGAGTGTAGGTGAGATGTCAATGATACATCTATGGAAAGTCACTGCTACTCAATCTCTAGACCTTCAAATACAGATCTTGCTTTCAGTTCCTGCGAAATAGCAGGTCGTTCTCTGCCATTTTCGTTATTTGAAGACACGAGCATTGAGTAGCAGCGACTATTTATAAAGAGTGTTTTCTAAGTCTATGTCATAAATTAAGGGGGTGATTCCTTGGGTAATTTTAGGTCCAAAAGCCTTAGTAAACCAGGGCCCTAAAGTTACTGGTTTCCAAGGTAGAAGGCGTTAAAGTTTTAGAAAAATCACATTTTTTTCAATTATTTCTGAAGCTGATTAACATAGATTGACGAAACATGGAGAAATGATGTAACTAATTAAAGGTATATCTGCAGCGATTCAAGGGAACTTTGTTAAAAACCGTCAGGAAAACAACGCCAATGGATTTTTAGAAAAATTAATAAGCGCTTTTAATTTACTGTCATATTTTTAATAAAAAAGGTCCTCTTGGATTTTCTTGATACAATAAACCATTTTCGAGTTAGGTATAATTTTTCCTGAAAACAGGAACCAATGTTAGTTTTCAATAAAAGTCTGGGCAGGTATTATGGGTGATGTCGTAATTGGTCCCGTTTTTCTACCATTGAGACTTAATGGTGATAATTATAGAGAATTTTTACAAAATCACATGAATGAGCTCCTCGAAGATATTCCAATTGCAGAGACACAGAATGGTGTTTATGCACGACGGAGACAAGCTCATTTCAGTAGAGTTTTTCAACTGATGGATTGGCCGAAATGGACCTTACCCTTGGTTTATTGGATTTATTGTGTGAAGAAAATGCAAGAAACCTTTTTTTATTAAAAATATGACAGTAAATTAAACACGCCTATTAATTTTTCTGAAAATCCAGTGGCGTAGTTTTTTTGAGGGTTTTAATGACAAAACTCTCCTGAATCTCCGACACTGGTTGACAGATTTATATAGAAATATAGCGAATCATTACTTTTAATTAGTTACATCATTTCCTCAAGTTTCGTCAGTCTAAGTTAAACAACTTAATGATAATTGAAAAAATGTGATATTTTTCAAAAACTTTAACGCCCTCTATCTTGGAAATCAGTAACTTTAGGGCTCTGGTTTATTAAGGCTTCTTGGCCTAAAATCACCCTCTTAATTTATGGCACAGACTTGGGATACACCCTGTATATGTAATACACCTCCATATTTGCAGTTTGCGGACACCAAAAAATAATTGCATCATTTATCAGTTGTCCCATATACAGAATACTGATGAGAGAAAATACGTTTAAAACCGGTATATGTTTGGTGGGTTTTGCTGACAAATGATACTAGAGTAGTACTAGATATTGGTGATATAATGTAATGATGGTTGGGGCATTAGTTTACAGAGTAGTTGCTTTCCGCAGTATCATCACGTTCGTTAATAAGATTATTATTTATTTTTGTCATGATTTAACAAAAAAAATGTAATACAAAAAACTGAACGGAATATACATCAATTCCTTACGAATTCCTTTACATGGCATGTTATCAATGTTTTTTTTTTAAATTAAAACGGTTGCATTAACAGTATCAAATTTGGTACACGTTCCTGCTATTCAATATTCATATTTATTTCATAAATTGCGTTAATCTGCTTTTTATAACCTTAATAAAAAAATATAACGAAGTTTTTTGTCTCTTGGAAAATGTAAGCTTTAAACTGATAGTGTTGGTAATTGGAAAAAACAAAATTGCCAAAGGATACGATTTAGTAATTAGTAAATTACAAATTGTATCATTAGGTAAGAACTATTACCAATAACAGCACAACAAAAAAAGTCATTTACATCTTAGCATTTAAATAAATATTATTAAACAATGATTCTGAAGATAACTATTTCAGATTTTATGCAATATCAAGTCCATCTAAAATTCATTAAGAGTTAAATGCCTTAACTACTGTGACAGATTTATCATTAAACAAAAGCGTGCATTTTGTTCCTCATCTAATCCATCGATTTCTTTACCGATGGATAGGAAGAGAAAGTGAATTTCGATGGCCACTTCGCAGTCCTGATTTAAATTTTTTGGATTATTACTTATGGGGCCATTTGAAAACATTAGTTTATTCTAACCCAATTAGTAATCGACAAGAATCATGGAACCAGATGTTCAATGCCTTACAGTTTATTAGAAATCAACGCAACATATTTTTTAAAATCCATAAATCTCTAACAAAAATAATTAGAAAATGTACGGAAGTAGAATGAAAATTTAATACACCTCTACAACTTAAGGAAGTGCGAAACACCACTCTGTGAGCAGGAAGACGAGATAGTTTTCCATGTACACTGCGAGTGCACTGGTATCTCGTCAACGAGAGAATCCGTACTAGGAGAACGATGGTCTTCTATGGTCTACATCAGGGAGATCCCTTTGAGCAACGTTATCACCTTTTTCTCCTTGATAGGTTGGTTGACGGCTTAGGAGAGCTGATCTCTCATTGGGAGGATGCACAAGGGGCCCAATGGGGCCTAAGTGCTGTAACTCAGTGTACTGAGTTACTCTCCAAATCATTCCAGAATCCAGAATCCACGGTTATAATATACTGCTTTTGATAAAATGAAAATTAAATTATTTCTCTAACTTTCTTGTCATATATTGAATTTTTTAAATGCAAATATCTCGAGAACGGTAATTCCTTGCGACATCAAGAAAGCAGGTATACCTTTTTTATGTAAAAGTGATAGAAAAAGAAATATTGCTATCAGAAAATAAGATACAGTGTAACAAAAAATTTATGAGCTATAAAAGTTCTGAGGCGGTATAGAATGTATGCCAAAGTTATGAGAAAATTTGAATCAAAAAGCCCTGAAATAAAATTTTGATTTTAACTGTAACTCGGTTACTATCAACTTTTGGACTAAAGTAAGTTTGGTCAGATCACATTATTATGACGTCACAAATCACCTGTTACTCTGTATACAATTCATTATGGAACACCCTGTAGGTTACTACTGTCTAATAATTAGGTATGGGTATGTAAGGTAGACTTACATTTTTGGTGCTGTACCTTATTCAATTTTTTTACATACATTAGAAATCACTGTATGTTACTCTTATCGTAACTAACTAACCGTATATACACAAAGTGTTCTCGGCTTTAAAAGTACAGAAAAGTGGAATTTATTATTGACATTAATTTTATTCCTTTAACGGTTTATTTGGAGTACAGATAAAGGTAGAATCAAGGAGCGTTATTAAGCAACACAATGCTCCAGGGCTAGGGAATCGAATAAGAATTCATTTCCGTAAATCCGAAACTTACTTCCTGGAGTAATGAACCATGAACCGAACTTCAATGCCGGTATAATAAATAACACAAGATGTTTTATCACCGACCGCAGAATTTGTCTATAAATATTTTCGGCAACTTTTAAGATACATTGTTTAGTCAAGTACACAGTAACAGCGACGGTGCGATAAACTTTCAGAAATAGTATCCTTTTCAAAAGAAATAAAAAACAAGAGTAACTGTTTTTCATAAAGAGACTCCTTTAAATATTGGTTGGAGAAGATCTTTTATATACTGAAAAAAAGGTAAGATATAAATGACTTACTATATATAATATATACGCAAATAAATATATGTATCCCTCGTGCTATACATATACGATAATCATAAACTAAGCAAAGTTTCTTCACACTTACTTCAAGATTATGGTATATCAAGAATATGTTTGCGTATACCTATATAAATAAATTACCTACTCATTACTGTTTTACATGTAAATTTGATTTAACTTTTTTGTAAAAGTTACTAAAAAAAAGATCAATTAAAACCAAATATCAGTAACCAAAATTGCTCAAAAGTGTGAGTTATGAACTCAGTTTGTTAGAATGCAACGGAGTTATTAATAAAAATATTTTTTGTAATACGTGTTTACTGGCTTGAGCTACTAATTTGTGACACTGTATTATTACTATCCTCTCGATTTATAGATTTAAAATGCCCCTTCCTACATTTTACCGCTGATATTAATGTGTACAATGTAATAGTAAGTTAGTTCATCGCCATTCACAATTTTTTTGTAGTGGACAAATTATTATAAATAAAATCATGCTTTATTATACGCGGACATGATTTTCGTGTATGGATATTGCAACTGTAGCATCATCGCTACAATTGGGGAATATCAACGACGATATCTAAACAACCATCTTCCAGACAAGCAGATGTTGAACCTTAACAACTCTTCGATTAACAGTGCGTTTCTTAAACCGACTAGTGAAAGAGAAATTATGCGAAGGGACAATCCTGGTAATAGTGCGAAAAGAATTTCTGTACTTACTGGACAAAGTAGGATGGCTGTGTAAAACACTGCGAGAAAACAGACTGCATCCCTATCATTACTAACTGGTACAAAAACTTCTCCCCACGGATCTTCCCCAAAGAGTTCGTCTTTGTGAATGGTGGAGCAATCATCTGGATACAAGAACCCTTTTCTGTGAAGAAGCTACATTTACAAGAGATGGAATCAACAATTTCCACAACTATCATGTGTCGGCAATCGAAAACCCTCATGTTATTAGAGAAAATTATTTTCAGAGAAGATGCTTCGTAAACGTTTGGGCTGGAAGTAATAATGAAGTTATCGGACCACTTTTCTTCGACGAAAATTTGAACAGCGAGATGTACAGGACTTTTTTGGAGAACGATCTCCCTCTACTACTTCAGGACATTTCTGTTCAAATCAGAAGGACGATGTTCTTTTTACATGATGGTAATCCGACCCAGTATGGACGTGGTGTCACTAATTTCCTCAATGAAAATTATCGAAATCGGTGGATAGGTCGTGGTGGCCCCATTGCTTTGCCAACGCGATCTCCGGATCTCAACCTCTTGGATTTTTTCATATGGGGATATGTGACCAACTCATTGAGAAGATTCATACAGTGTTTGATGAGGTGAAAAAAATATGGAGAACAAGGAACTGGCAACGAGCACAAGGCGGTGGTCACATTGGGCAGCTTTAATAATTACACTGTCATTATGCTTTTATTAAAATAAACCACATATTTTTCTAAGCCCTCTAGTCGCAACAATGTAATTTACTCTTTAGCAACTACCCATACGACTTGGCAATTTCAAATCCTGATATTTCAAGTATCGGATATCTTGGCGGCCACCCTGTATATTTTTATAACGTAAAGAGTGCAGTTATAAGAAGGCAACGGTTGTGTCACTTTTTGTTTGAATAAAATTACATAAAAGAGAACCTGGCCTACCGCCACCCGTGTACCACATTGCTGGTGCCCTAACATTTCCGATTTATATTGATGGGAAACAATAACCAACATTGAAAATATCTCACAATATCTGATTTTAGAGGGTAGGAGAATCGGTAAAAATTGATTTAAAATTTAATTCTATATACATACTATACAGTTTAAGAGATCAAAGTTTGTATAGCAAGGCTATCTACAAGTATAAAGAAAACATATTGATGCCAAATTGGACTGAACTCAACTGAGGTAATTTTAGTTTTATTGTCTGTATTGAAAGAAAAAATTACTTCTTATTGTTTGTTGTAAAGAAATAATTCCTTAATGTTTGTTGCAGTATTGCTATTATAATTTGTACATTTTTCGTGAAAATGTATATGTTACGGACAGAGACGAAAATTGGACATTGACGATAATGGCCGGTCAATGATGCGATATTCCATTTTTCCTGGCCAATATCGCTAATTTCCGGGTATTGACATGTTGGCCAGTTGCGGACAGGCAATGTTGTTAATACATATTTTCAAGTTAATATCTTTACCCGGTCATTAATGATAATGGCCAAAAACGACTGGACAATGTTATATATATACAATGTTTTCGTTTATTAATTTTATTTATGAAATGTGCATCGTTGAGGTACGTAGGTACGATGTTCTTTTTGCGCGACATACATACTTACTATTTTTACATCCTCCCTTGCTTCTTTGCCTCTTCAACATCAGCAATTCTGTTGTTCTGTTTGGTTTCTATGATTGCTTTTATATGTTCAGTAAATCGACGGCGCATTTCATCATAATCCATGAACCTGCATGGATTAACGCCACAATCTTTGCCTAACATTTAATCACTGGCCGCTAACTATCAGGCGATGTCGTTATCACCCGAACAAAGATATTGACAGCGCTATAAATTAACAACATTGCCTAAATGACATTGACATTAACGTTATTGGCCGGTCTTTATGGATAATGTCCAACTTGGCTGGGCATTATCGTCACTGACCGGCCAATAACGTCATTGGCCGGATGATGGTCTTTGTCCGTAACATATATATGATAAGGCAAAACTGTAGGTATTTTCATATTTATTGCTAGAAGGGTTAATGTAAATTTCCACCACAAAGGGGTGCCAAAGAAATTTTCAGTAAGCTGTACTTAAATTTAACTTTATTATCCGTAATTACCTATATGAGTGAATATGGACTTTATTTGTAGCAGTAATGCGCCCAGTAGTAGAAAAAGCCTGTTCACGTGAGCGACGATGAAATATGCCGTATGAATAATTTAAGCTGTAGCAGGAAATAGAGGTGCTCGCAGGAAAAACTTGCAGGCCGCCGTGTCTGATACCAGAAATTACATGGATTATCCGGTTTTATTTTTAAGGCGTGCAGGAAATATCTAGCTCTGTTCGCTGAAAATTCAAATCGACCTCAACGCTGCATTTGACAGCGACTTATTAAGGATAGTAAGTTCACTACGTGAGTTGAATTTATTTAGAGAATCTGCTTGATTATGTGATTAATTTGTTATACATTCAATTGCAGCGAACATATTGATTAAGTTTTACTTTCAAAAATGACGACAGCGATTTTTCTTAAAATAAAAAGTTTATATGAAAAATTATGCATGAATCAATAGTAGACTAGGCGGTATCTGTTTTGGTTTGGGTGAATCGTATATCCACGGAGATTTTTGGCTTTTTGGCTTTCAAATATCACTAGAAATGAAAATTTTTCTATGCGCATAAAAAAATACGTGGGCTTAACTTTTAGCAGCACAATATGTTAAAAAAATTCGTAAAATGTCATATACTATTGTTAATGACACACATCCTGTTAATGAATCTGGTGTTAGTGATAAATGTTTCGCTGATCATAATTTAATATACTGCAGATTGGATGCTTCAATAGAAAAACGTAAAACACTCAAAACATATAGAACCTAGGAAGACATAAATTCTATCGACTGGACCTCTTTATACCAGAATGCTAACATTAATTTTAAGGTTGATTATTTTAATTCTTCCATTATTGAGCTGTTTGATAAGCATGCGCCTCTTGTAACTGTTAAGTTTTTCTCGCACAAAAAACGTCAGCCTTGGTTTACTTATCCATTATTGCAAATGAAAAAGCTTAAAATAAATTCTTTCAGTCGTTATAAATCATTGAGAAATGTAGACAGTAGAAGATATTATTACGATTTGAGAAATCAGTACAATAATGCTATAGATCAAGAGAAATCTATCTTTTATCGTCAGCGCTTCAGTCTTGTAAAGCATGATGCTAAAATGCTCTGGAGGGAACTGAAAAAGAGTGATCTTATTCGTTATAAGAATGTTGCTGCTATCTCAAAAAATATTATGGATCCAGATGCTATTAATGATTATTTTTTAGACTCCATCCCTAATACTACTGCTAATGACGGATATATCCAATGTTTTTACACCTCTGCTTCGTCAACTAGCATCTTTGTATAGTCACCTGTTTCTGTTAATGAAATTGAAAGTTTCATTTATAACCAAAAACCGCATAATACTGGGTTTGATGGTATTTCTGGTGGTATGTTACAAATATGTACGCCTGTGATTGCTTTTCCTCTTACACATATAATTAATTATTCTTTTGAAACTGAAGTTGTTTCGTATCAATGGAAAACATCAATTGTTACCCCTATTCCTAAGAAATCGCATGATAAAGATTTTGCAGATTTACGACATATTAGTTTGTTATCAGTTCCCCTTAAAATAGCGGAACGAGTTATTTATAATCAGCTCATCAACCACTTTAGTTTTAATAATTTTCTACCTTCTAACCAATCAGGATTTCGTAAAAATTTTAGTACAGGAACGGTACTTGCGACTGTGGTTGATGACGCTTTACGGGCTATCGACTCTTCTAGGGTTTTAAGCCTCACGCCTTTAGATATATCGAAAACATTTGATCCAATAGATTTTAGCTGCCTATTGGCCAAACTTTTTTTCTATGGAATTCATGATAAATGTTATGATTGGTTTGATTCCTATATTAAAGACAGATTGCAACTTACTATAATTAAAACTGAAAATGGTCCTTAATTTTCTGAACCTAAAATAATAAAATATGAAGTGCCACAAGGCTCTGTCCTGGAGCCTTTACTTTTTAGTATATGTACTGCGGATTTCGTGTCGTCAGTAGTGCACACTACTTTGCACATGTATGCAGATGATTTACAAATTGTGTACAGCTTCGAAATTGAGAATAAACAAACTGCTGTTGATCTTATTAATTCTGACATGCATCGGATTAAGGAGTTATGCGATAAAAATGTTCTAATACTTAACCCAAATAAAACTTGGTTATCGGTACTTATAAAAAACTAGAAAGTTGGGGGATTTTGCTGTTTATATTGACAATTGTCCTTTGGAAAACTGTAGTTCAGTAAAAAATCTCGGTCTTGTGTTTGAAAATGACCTGAAATTCTCGCAACATGTTAGTGAGTTATGTAAGAAGGCGTTCATCTCCTTTAAGCAAATATCGCCTTTAAAACGCTATTTGAGTTTTGATATTAATTAATATTGGCTGAATCCTTAGTTTTGTCTCATCTAAATTATTGTGATTATGTTTATGGTCATTTACTTACAAATGATGTTAAATTTAAGCTACAAAAAATTCAAAATTGGTGCATGCGTTTTGGTAAATTAAGACTCGGTGAAAGACGCTATGTTCATTTTTGTGTCTTTGTAAATAATATACTGTGTAATGCAGCTCCTGACTATCTTTATAAGAAGTTGGTTTGGCGGCATGATGTACATGATCGTCAGCTTCGTAATTTATATGATTTGCAAATAATGCGTCATCGAACTGAGTGTTTCAGATGTTCATTTACCTATTTAGCAGCTATGGTATTAAATAATGTACTGGTGCCTCAGGACTTAACACTCCGTAATGCACCTCTGAATAAGAAACGCATTCGTGAGTGGAAAACGATAACTCCACAAATGCTACTGTTTTCTAGTTTTTTAGTTGTTATTAATATAATGTGCGTGTGTGCATATTTATAAGTTATATTGTTTTTTTTTTACATTGTTTTAATAGCTCTTTATAGTTATATTGCTTTTAATACGTAGACTTGTTATTGTGTGTGAGTTAATTGACTGAGGGGTAGGCTAAACATCAGTTATCTGTGTCTAGTCCTTTTGTGTATAGGCTTGTATATTGCCATTGTAACTATGCACAATAAATATTTTTGACTTTAACTTTTTTGACCACTGTAAACCACTTCACTTATTTAACGTTTCGAATATTAATTTATTTTTGTCTTCAAAACAGCAACCGATGAAACAATTATTTCTTGGATTCGGTTCGTTGTTGCCCACAAACACTGAATATATCCAGTTGTGAAAGTTTAAACTGCCAAATTTATTTGAACAAATTTTGTAACCATAAATAACACTACCAAATTTCAATAAAATCGGCTAAAGGATTATTAAGATGTTTACGAAAAAAACGATTTTTTAAATGTATTTTGAAAACGAAACATTACCGGACCTATGCTTATATAAACTTTTCGTCTTAAAATCACTCAAAGAATCACCACTTGAAGTTTGGCTACGTATTTAAATAACAAACTGTATAGATTCCTGGGACCAGTGTATGATTTAATAAATTTTACCTCTATCCAGATTTGCTTAGCACAAAGCGTTTTCGACTTATTTGGAAAAAACTATAATTACTTGCCAATTTGAGCTCTCTAACGGTTAAACGCAGCAACTTTGGATTTAGGGAAGTTTACTTTTTACTTTTTACCCCTAAAATTTTGTGACATGGAATATTGGGATACTCTGTATAATAAATAGTGAGTTGGGGTTGGGTTTCATAAACCATAAGCATGGTAATCGTAATCCTTCTGAAATAATTAAATGAAATGACAAAATAAATAAACTTTATTGGTAAATTATTGACAAATATGTAATAGAGTGCCTTTTAAGATTGTACAAGTTTAGGTTTCCCTCTTTGTTAACGAAAAAGAAAAATTGACCCTTAAGATTAACTTGACCTAACGTCTCTTCGAGTAGATAACAGCTAAGTTTGAATTCACTTTATATTGCCTCATCGGAAAACACATTATAGAACTCCCTTAAGGACCGCTGTGATCTGAATACGTAAACTTATGATCCAGTCCTTCTTCGCAGCGAAGTGGGGGCCCCTTATTGTGTTTAATTATTTCCGATAGTTAATGAACATGGAGATTAGAACACAGGAAGGAATTTTTCTCATATAAATTGTTGTGATATATTATTTGTGTAATAATTGTTGTGAAATGATATTTTTGCCAAAGTTGTGTTTGCTTGTGTTGTGTGTTGTGTTCTTTGTTTTGTTTGTGTAATTTTTTTTTTATGTTGGTTAGCTGCTGATTGTTAAATACAAACCTTTCTTTGTCTCACCGTGCACTTTACTTTTTCCCTTGCCAGCTGATGTTGGATGCTTGTTTTATTGTTAGTGATCTCAGGAGTCGGTTCTATTAATTTTAATACACAAACAAGTACAATGCAACACACCAAAAAAATAGAGATTAAACTTTAATACAATCTTTATTCCAAAAATTTTGTGGGTTGACTTAAAACTTGCAACTTGTAACTCAAATTGTAAATATGTTCCTTAACAATAATAAAGAATATTTTATTAATTTTGTTATTTTTTCTAATCTAATACAACTAAATACAATACAAGGATTGTTTTTATAATTCAAGAAAAATTTTACTTTATTAGCATTTAATTTAAATTATTCAATTTTGAATACATCTCTTTGTATTGTATTTTGCCTATCTTACAGGGCATAATCTGTTTACTGACAGAAAATGCA